TATTTTGACTGAAAGTTGTGAACAGCCATTGGTTGCTTGGTCAGATACTTTCGGCATACGCATCGTGACCATATAGAAGTTCTCATTCTAATTCCGCTCTCCCCATAGGTTTCAATTCATCTTTCCCTAGCCCTGGGGGAATGGAAGAGTGCTAGAAGACGAAATGGAATGATTTCATACAATATAGTTCCATAAACCATGTTAACGGTCACAAGACCACCACTGAGGCACCTCTAGTCGGATCGCTTTTGCTGTTTTCTAGCACCCTTTGTTCCGATAGACTTTTTGAAGAGAAGATCTGCTCAGTCCTCTTCCTTCTTTCTCGGATCCTGTGGTCATCATACATCTTACAAATAGTTCTTGCAATCTCGAAAAGGTCAATTTTTTTTGAAGTCAGTCATTCTTGAGGGACAAATGCATGACTTGAAATGTAGTCTTCCTAATCGAATCAAGTTTATCGACACAGATGGATGCATGCCCTTAACCCTTCAATCAAGAAACTTCGTTCTACTTATGCGATGTTTCCCTGGACAGCTGCAGTATCCGCCGAATCACACTGTTGAGCGCTGCGGTTCGTGAGAAGATGGTTGCGTAATAGACCGTCTCGTGCTTCAAGTTGAGTACACGCGTCACTACTCGTTCGGGTTCAAAGGTTGCGGAGGGATTTTGCCACACCCGCTGTCTCCGGTACATAATTCCTATCGCTCTACAGCATGTCAATTGTTTGTCGAGGCTTCAAGGGGGATAGGCGTCAGGAATGCGCTTAAATGAATAGACAGAACAGAGTTCACACAGCTAGCAAACGTTCTAGGAGAGAATTGTGAGAAACCTTGGAAAACCTCTTACCAATATGCAGTAGTAACCGTTCTTAATGTTACGAAACTTATGAAGGCGAAGGTTCTTTTTTAATTCGTAGAAAAAAAGAAACTTTGCAGTAGGCTAGTCTCAATCAATTCGTTACCAGAATTCTAATTTTATCCTAGAGATCTTGCGAGCATGTTTACCATTTCGGCCCTTTCCTGATCACATTGGGAAGAGGAGGGATCCCCTCCTCTGTGTGTTCTTTCATTCCTTCCAGATTCAACAGTAGGCACTGAAAGGAAGGAAGCTGTAGCAACATGCCTTATTCAATCTTTTCGTAGATCTGAGATGGCTTCTTTGTAGTAAAAATCGGCCAAGTTCTACTGTTTAATACAGAAATTTCGCCTTTTGACGCAACATAGTCCTTTCAGGTTCTGGCAATCGGTCTTGGTGGACGTGGCCGTCTAGAAGACGCCATCCATCAGCTCCGTGGAATCCATCAAGATGCACTGAACTACAAGCCAAATCTGGATGAGTTGGAAAGGATTCACCAGGAAATGCAAGAGAACTTTGTCTTTGAGAATAGAAAGAGCAGGTGAACATCTTTTTCAAACAAAGTGAGACAACGTTGACTCCCACCTTTAAGGTATTCGATGGAATCTCTACGTGTTGGTTGGGAAAGTCTGATCACAAGCATCAATAGAACGATCAATGAGTTGGAGAATCAGGTGACTTCAGCTCTTTGTTGACGACTCTATTGACTCTTTTTAGAGAAACATTTCCATTGTTTAACTAGCTTGTGTTAGAGTTGTTCGCTAGGTCTATTTACTCATTGTGCTATTCGTTTTTATTTATTTTGTCCATTTATTAGTGGTAAATGATGTGGGCTGCTCCTAACTATCACGTAAGCCATTGTGTGACGTTTAGATCTTGTTGCGTGACAGCAAGGGAATCTCCGAGGAACAAATTAACGAATACCGCGCCTCATTCAATCACTTCGATAAGGATAGACAAGGCCTTGATCCCGAACAGTTGCGAGCATGTCTCATCTCCATCGGCTACAACATTCGACCTGGACGGGAGGCAAGTAAATTTCATCCGAAGAAAATAGTAAATTTATTACATTTAATTGAAACAGACCGGTATTTAATATGTGTAATTTCGCATATTACCGAATAAAGTAATATTGGGAACCACTGTCGCGGGCCCGTGAATCAAAGCAGAATTTTAGGGTGATGCCGATTTGCATAGGATTCTTTCGCATGTGGATCCAAACCGAATGGGACGTGTACCATTCGATGCGTTCCTGGATTTCATGACCCTCGAAACGGCAGACTCGGATACGGTGGAACAGATGATTGATTCGTTCCGTATTCTGGCAGCTGGAAAGGTACCAGTTACCTTTGATAACAGTTTAAAGTCAATTTTTTATAATGATCTTGAAGGCTACTCTAGAGTTGATCCAAATTCATTGTAGGGAATGATAGTGGACTATTAAAGTTTTCATACAATTCCCTTTACATTTCACCATATGTTGCAACCTCTTTATAGAAATCTGTGTGGTATCTATGAAGGGGTGTCAAATATGGTGAAATGCCAAGTAGTATAGCCAACGCTTTTCTCTAGTCTTTCTGAAAACTCGGTTTTTTCTTGGAAATTAAACGATTTGTTCTCTAGCCGTTCATCACCGGCGAAGAATTACGTCGTGAGCTACCCCCTGATCAAGCCGCCTACTGTATGCAACGAATGGCACCGTGTCACGACCCACAGGCCCCGCCAGGCTCATTCGACTATGTGACGTTTAGTCGAAGTCTCTACTTCAGTCAGTAACAACCCTTTGCACACCTCTCTAATAACAATGTTTTGGAGCTTTCTGATAATTGCGGATTCTTAAAGCTTTTTCTAACCTTCCTTTATATAAGCATAGCTTAAGTTTTATTACTCAAAACGAATCTAGCTAGCAGATATATGGTGCATTACTGATTTACTGATTATTTCTACTTCTTCCCCATGCTAATACCCTGTAATGTCAAAAGACTCTGTCATCTGCTGTTGATTAGGGAAGAATATCTAGTCTTATATAATTTCGAATGAATCGATTTTCGATATGGATTAATGATATATGATTTTACATTGATTTAGTCTAGGTGGCTGTGTAAATATTCCGAGAATGACGTCATCACTCTCATCTCCCACGTACTGCCTTATTTTTCCGCTTTGACGTCAACATTATTATTGTATGCAAGTGTATTTGCTGTTCCAATGAACGTGTGGTAAATTCGACTTTTTCTCAATGATCTCATCGGAATCCGCAAAAAATGCCTTTCAGCCCATTTATGCCTATGACGGTATCCCTATGTTCTAATACCNGTACTGCCTTATTTTTCCGCTTTGACGTCAACATTATTATTGTATGCAAGTGTATTTGCTGTTCCAATGAACGTGTGGTAAATTCGACGTTTTCTCAATGATCTCATTGAAATCCGCAAAAAAATGCCTTTCAGCCCATTTATGCCTATGACGGTATCCCTATGTTCTAATACCCCCCCACTCCTAAGCCCATGTAAGCCCATTGCATTGTCGGTGATAGGACCCCTATATTGGCAAGCAAGGGGCCTTAAGGTCCTGAGGCTGAAAACAGCAGAACCAACGCTCACTAAACAACCAGCTACGTTCGTCAGTTCTGGAAGAAGGACCATCCAAGCTACTGCAAACGGCGAAGCAGGCTTCAGGAAAAGAAAACTCCTCAAAACGACCTCTTTACCCTAATGGAAGTGTCTTTATAACCACTCTTGACCTTCCTTGAGTTTGAGTTCGTGGAATAGACGGAATAGTAGCAGTTTTCAAGATTGCTGATGTACCAAACGACTGCAGAGCTAGAACTGGCAACGAAGTTACAGATAAAACCTCAAACTGTAATCTCAAACTTCAGTATGAGGGGTCTGTTTTGATTTTCAGAGCGTTTGTTTGTGAGCAAAGGAATGACCGCTTCGACTCCCAATAGGCTCGATGAGGAATAAAAAGCGTCGAAATCGAGGAACTGACAAAATATCAGGACACCGTGGTCAATGGGAAGGGCGCAGACAAGTAGGTTGGCACCGTTCGCGAAGTGAAGGACCAACAGCACCGACGGTAGATCGCAGGAAGCCACAGTATGCCTAGACAAAAAGTGAAAATCAAGGAAAAAGTTGTTCCAGGATTTACTTTACAAATCTTGTGGTGAAAATGTAGTTGGGGGGTGCCAGTGCCCTTTTGAGCTCTGCGTCTCATTTCTTACCCCATCTAATCATCTCACCCATCCCGGAGCTCCTCCCCTTCTAAAAGTTAGGGAAGGAGCTCC